AAATATCCACAAATCATTGTTTTGCCTCCTGTTCTCATTTTAGTAGTTATATGGTATATTAAGACTCTTTAAATATAGACCAAATCAATAATTTGAATGAACAATAGTGTTAGTTTTCTAGTTTGTGACACGGATACACTAACATCCAGAATTTTGAACACTACAGAAAAGAATGCTGAAGAGCTCTGAAATGCTCAGCACATCCCATGGGACTTCAGTTTCCCATGGAATGGGCTTGCTATGGGATTACCTATTTTAAAATATAAGTAACAGCAATGCAGTCAGGATTCATGGTCAAACATAACTTTATTGATTTTCTTCTTAAAAACATTGTTTCTTCCTTTAAAAAAATCTAGAATTTAAATACTTCCCATCCCAAGTCTGTATACAATATTTACAACTTTCAAATAAAACATATTACAGATAGGATATTCAGATCTCCCTTTAAAATAAAAATGATGACACAAACTTTGATCAGTAACTACTACAATCTTGGCACAGCTTAAAATAGAGCAACCATGTTGCTGTTTGTATTTTAGACTATTTCTCCCCTTCCAGCTAGCTATTATATATTTCCCCTGGTGGTTTTGGGGATTGAACCCAGGAATCTTTCATACAAGACAGATGCTCTATCACTAAGCTACAGCCACACCACCTTTTATTTTTTGAGACAGTGTCTCACTAAACTGCCCAAGCTGGACTGAAACTTGCTATCCTCCTCTCAGCCTCCTTAGTACCTGTAATTACAGGCATACACACCATATCCAGCTTCCACCTATGAACTATCTCCATGAGAGCAGGATCTTTTGTCTTTGTGCACTATCTTAAATACCTGCACAATGTGAGTGCCGTGCTATGCTTCCAATACTTGGCAGCAGCACTATGCCTCTGCTTCTTCTGTCTTCAGCAATGATTCCTATTTAAAATGTTAAGTGTTCTCTAAGATTTAGTGTATTCTCTCTCAATCTAGATTCCATGACACTGCTTCTAGTGGTGATTTTAAGTAAAAAAAAAGTATACGAGAAATTTAAATAGAACAAAGGCATTTTCTAAAAGATTAGTGTCCTTAAAACCCTGGTTATGAATGTACAAAAAAACAAATACAATTTAGTGAGTGTAAAAAGCTATCTTCCTATAAATAGTCATTTCTGCAGACCAATTAAAGGAAAAAAGTTCTCAAATGAAAATGCACTTATCTACTTCACAATGTGCACAATTAAGTATTTCAAAAATAAAAATTAAACTTGTTTTTAATAATCCATCTATGATATATGGAAGAAAAATTAAAGTTTATTATATCACTAATCTCAATTTCAGTAACAAATTTAAAGAAAGTTATCAACCATAACAAATTGATGTGACAATAAGAACTTCAGAATCTTTAACAATGAAACCTGCAAAATCAACCTAAATGGTTTTCGTGTGTGTGTGTGTGTGTGTGTGTGTGTGTGTGTGTGCGTGCATGCACATACACACATTAGTGCCTCAAAAGGGATATAAAAGATAAGAAAATAACAGCTGGAAAAGGTGAATGATTTTACTATCTATCGTTCAGAATAGAAGGGTACGCAAAAAGAGAAACTTGCTTTACAATTACAAAACAGTACCCAATGTTTTAAATATGTATTTTATCTTTTGGGAAAATGTAAAATCCAACTTAAAGTGGAAGACTTAAAGGACATTTTATACTTTCAGAAGAACGAATTCTCATTATTATGAAAGCTTGAAAAATTGAAATCATCTGCAGTCAGAATTTTGTGACATGTTAGTTAAAACTTCTGTTAAATCTTGAGATACCTGTACTTCTATCATCTCACATAGAATTAAGATAATAGCTGGACCAAAGTGATTCTTACAGTAAATCTTCACATTAGGACAAACTTTGATATTTAAATTATTTTAGGAAGTCCTCAAAGTATAGATCTTTGTAAGAATTGGTATATTTTTAAAAATCCCAGGTAAATTTCAAAATAAGAGAAGTTTGCAAAATTTGCAGTCACATTTCCAAATCACAAATAACTTTTGGCCCACACTTTCTGAAAAACAATCTTTTTAAAGTTGTAAGTGATATGTTAAATAGTTATAACATTCTCAGTATCTTGTGATCTGTAGGCTTAAAACTGAGCATAATTAGTATATAGGAATTATCACAATTTGCTTGAGCAACAATCCCAGTTTTAAAGTCAAATTGTTCACTTGAGAAAAAGCATGTTTTAAAAAAGGATGGAGGTAAAAGCTGTTTCCTTAAAACTATTTTAACTATTGAGTCTATTTTCCATATTTTCTAACTCAAAACTATCGTACAGTCACAGAATTCAAAAGTTTTCAGAAAAGAGGATTAAAATCTAAAAAACAAGTTCTAGAGAAAAAAAATAGGGTTTTGTTTTGTTTTGAAGTTTAACTGTGGGCAACTCATTTTCTTATCCCTCTTCTCTCTTAGAAGCTATCTTTCAATAAATTTTTCCTTAAAAAAAATTTTTTTTAAAGTAAGCCTACACATCTGTCCACTCCAAAATAGTGACACCAGGAGACCAATGATGCAAACAATGCTTAAAACATTCTCTTCTGCAGATTCAGAGGCTATGACACATTCTTTTTAATTTCCCTAGTGGCTTGCTTCTCAGACAACACCCAAGTTATTAGATTTGGTTTGATGATTAAGATAGGTCATATTAAGCTGTCTAAACATATTTTGTGCAACTAAAATGATGAAATGGTTGTCCTGCATAGTCACAAGCTGATTCTCACGGCATCATCTCTAAAGGAATTCTAAAAGCATTAAGATGTGTAAGATAGTTATGAAGAGTAGTCCTTCCAAGGGAACTACTCTGAAGATCAACTGATTTGGATGTTAAGGTATGACATACCCATTCTAAAATAATTTTCTATAACTTAATACTTTCATCTCATAGTCTACCATTTTAGTGGTTATCAAAACCTCTCAGATCATGGAGGACAATCAAGACACATTCACTGAAGGCCAGAATTGTAAAAGGAGAGTATGGAGGACAATCAAGACACATTCACTGAAGGCCAGAATTGTAAAAGGAGAGAAACTACTATATTCTTGTGCTTCTCCTGGGGATGAATAGCAGTGATTGATATTCTAAATAGGTATCAATCTGGGGGGGGGGCAAGGTCTTAATCCAGCCTTTCCTAGAAATATCCCTGACCCCCACCCTTACTGAAAATCCTTACATGCTTGCTATGTGACTTGCTCCCCCACTGACCCCCATTTAATCAATATTACCTGGGTGACTGTACTTGTAATCTTATTGGCTGGTAATGGTTTTGCCCCTACCTCATGGCCACCTTGTAATTTTCCATTGGATCTTATACTTTTGTACCTGCCTCACCACATGGCTTTGCTGTGTAAAACATCTCTGAGAAGTGGGGTGGGTGGGCAACCCACTTTCCGGTCCCCCTTCTGTCTCTAAGACAGAAGTTTTCTTTCCTACTCTTAAAAACAAACAAAAAAAAAATAAAACAAAAAAAGCTCTCAGAGAGGTTGTAGACAAAGCTATAAAAGAAATCTGTCATTTTCCCATATGCAGGGAAAATGTTAATACATAAAATGGAGTCTAGAGATTACTTATGTAAAATAAAAATATCCACACATCATCTTTATTTCCTGACAAGAGATTTTAGTGCTTCATCTATGTTGATAAACCATGCAGTAAGGTCTGAAATATATTTTACCTTAACCATATCTTCTTCTACCCGGTATATTTTATGCTGACCATTTAGAATTTACAAATGATTAACAGAGAAAGCAGAGAGAGGCAAATTTAATAAATTATTCTCCAAAGCCACCAACTAATACATGCTTAATTGAGTGTTGGTCTACTGCCATGGTTTTATAGGACAAGTAGCACCATCTACTACTGCTAATTTTTAAAGTCTCTCTTTCTGGTATTTTTCTTTACCACCACCAGTCCATCATTTAAAATAATTTCTCTAACTTGTGTCAATTCAACATTAGAGCAAAGTTGTTATGAGTGCTGATAATACCTTGTTAACTTACTACTTTACATTTCATGAGATGCTGTACTCAAAAAAGGAAGAGAAAACCTGGGTTTTACAACTCTGTATAAAAAACAGGGGAAAATAATTTTCTTGGTTATTATAAATTAGAGATCTGAAAAGAATCTACATAGACATTTATAAGCAAGCTCTGCTCCAAAATCAAGCTTTGATCCTTATTTTGTAAAGGACATCTTCTTAACTCTTACATGTAGAAACCAACCAAAGCAAAGCAACTTTATTAAGTCAGTTCTTTATCTGCTCTGGTGTTTCCTTTCTTGCAGCAACCTAACACCATGTACAATGCTAGGTGTCTCCCTTCTCTTTATTACTACATATACATCTCCTTGCTTCTCAATAACTGAATAAAGAATATTCAGAAAGAGGCACCTAAGATTATGGCAAAGTAAAAACAAATCCTGTCTGCCTACAGTGGGAAAGTAAATCCTACTACCAAATTTTAATTTGTGGAAATATTTTCCCATTTCTACAGTGTACTACTATGTAAGGGTTAAATGAACAAGAGTAATTTTTCTTATACTTTCTATATTTGGCTACTGCAATCCTTTTGTCACTAGACTGACAGGAAATCATTGGATATGGAAAACTAGTTGGGAAATTGTTTCATTTCCTTATAAAGATAGGACTCAAAAATTATGACACCAAATTTTACTTCTGAACCAGCCCACAGTGTTTACTATTATCTATTCTGTGTTCTGAAAGGTTTGTTTTAAGAAAATCAGCTAGCTTTTGTTGCCATGTATAATTAAACATTACCAGTAAGCATCAATTTACTTGCTTCTGTCAGGCTCTCCTGTTAATTCTACTGTTGATATTTAGTACATTAACTGCTAGGAAGAAATGGAGAAAAAGGCAGTTGCTAGTAATCCAAATTGTAAAAGTATTGCCAGGGATTTAGCTCACAGGTTCTGGTGCCTGCATCCCAAGTGCAAGGACCTGCGCAAGCATCCAAGTTCAATCTCTGGTACAAAACAAACAAACAAAAAAACACACACACAAAACAACAAAAAACAAAACAAAACAAATTGTAAAAGTATTAAACTGCATCACTCAGTGGTCTACTTTTTAATGACAAAAACAAACTCACTTTCTTTTCTACTAAGCATTTTTAATCTATTCAGAGCAAGCACTTTATTCTACAAGCATGTTTCTAAGTGAAGGAATGGAACATATATCTAACTGAAGAAAGCAAATTTATCAAAAATGATAAAACTGAAACTGCAAGTCTGAAAGGGTATTTCTCAAGAACATAACTGAAGTGAAAAGATTACTACTTATTTTTTAAAAACTAAGTTTCTGAACTTGTTATTGGTAGTACTAATTCACTAGAAAGTCCAGGCAACTAAAATTTTAACTACTAATTTAAGATTTTCATTGTCTGGTATCACTGCAAAAAAAAAGATTCCTTTCACAACAGAAAAATCAGAAGTCAACATGCTTCAAACTGGGCCTATAATATGCAAAGAAGGTACTATATATCATTTTAAAATGACAGGAAATACCAGCTCCATTCACTGAATGGAAATGCTAAAAAAGTGATCAGTTTTCCATAGGGTCCTTAAATCCATGCTTAATGTCTTTACCTAAAAATCAATAATGTATTTTTAACTTCTCAAGGAAGTTGATTCCTAAAAGGAAGTCTCTAAGACTCAGTTTATAAGTGATTAAAATCTTATCATTCTATTCAAGCATTTTAAAACAAGACTTTCTAGAATTTAATTCCACATATTTAATTCCATCCCTAACTCCCCATACACACTCTTCTTCTACTCTTCAAAGTAAGTGGTTATTCTGCAGACTTATGGCTCATTTGGCAATTGCTAAGAAACCTCACAGTTCAGAATCACCTCTGAAGATGGCAATCCTATACATAACCTGAAGTTTAAAACCCACAGTGCAGTTAACATGTAGAAAGAAGCCAAAATGCAATAAATATTACATTTTAACATCCTCAAGTTTCAATATCACAGATACTAAGAATGGAAAAAGACCTGCATATAGAGCTTTAAGCATTTGTTGAACAGAATATATTACTGTCAATATCAAAAATAATTAAGAAATACTAATTTTTTAATGTTTTACATGCATACCTTTACAAATTATGTTTCTTCAATGTAGTAAAGGCTGGAGAATACCAATTTAGGTAAACTATGGCTTTTATTATAGATTATTTTACAGCATGCACCAGTTAAGTGCCCTGGATAGTAATCTTAATATTGTTTCAAGCCCTGTTCAGTTTTGTCTGTGCTTTGCATCTCAGAAGTAAACCTGCCAAGGCACTTAAAAACAAGTCTCTTGGGGACTTCACAATGCGCCATGATTTATGCAACACAGAATCCCATCCACCAGCATTTTCTTCCAGCACACAGTATTACTAAAAACTCATCTAAAATCATGTTTTAAAAAAATACTGTAAGCCTCTGAGACAAAATCAACTCCTTTCAAATGAAGAGAATGGTTCTTGGCTTTCTCTACCAATAGAGTATGTTTTCAGATATTCAGAATAAAGAAAAGGGAACCCAAACAAGACACCCAAACCCAATATAAAACCAGATAAAATATGATAAACATCCCAAACACACTCCACACAGCTTCATATGAGGAACAGTTTGCATAGCTCTGCCTTCTTTTATCTATCCTTTGAGGTGAGCTTTTCAATCAGTTCTTGGAGTGGTGCAAGTTCCCTTCTATCAATAAGGTTGAACTCCTATGCAGAAAAAAGACAAAAGAAATAGCAAAAACATTATTTACCTCTCAATCCACAGCAGATTACAATTAACATCTGTTGAAAATTAGCTTTTGAAATAAAAGTTGAAAAAAAATAAATGAGTATTTGCTCTATGTCCTATGCAAACCACTCAACCTATCTTGATGTTGCTTTTACATCTAATATTAAGATTAAGGGGCCTGGAATTTAGCTTGGTGGTGCCACCGCCTGCTTCCAGAGTCCAATGCCTGGTACCCCCCCCCAAAAAAGATTAAGACTTAACAGCAAATAAATATACGAAAATATGTTATCACACTGGTCATTCCTGAAATGCAAATTAAAACAACACTGAGATTTCCATCTCACTCCAGAAAGAATGGCTGCTATCAAGAAGACAAGCTGGGCCGGGTATGGTGATGCATGCCTGTGATCCCAGCAGCCTATAATCCCAGCACTGGGGAGGCTGAGACAGGAGGATCACTGTGAGTTCATAGTGAGTTCCAGGTCAGTCTCAACTACATAGTGAGACCCTGTCTCAAAAAAGAAAAAGAAAACATCTGGGCCAGTGATTTAGCTCAGTGGCACCCTCCTTGTCTTGCAAGTACAAGGTCCTGAGTTCAATCACAATGTAAAAAGAAAAAAATTGATCAATAACAACAAATGCTGGAGGGGCTGTGGGGAAATAGGAATGCTTCTCCACTGGGAGTGTATACTGATACAACCACTATGGAAATCAGTGTGGAGATTGTCAAAAAACTAAAACTAGAGGTTTCATTTGACCCAAATATTTCCTCTTCTTGGTATCTTCCTGAAAGAATTAAAAGCATCATACCACAGAGATATATGCACACCCATGTTACAGGAGCACACTTTGTAATAGCTAAATCTTGGGTAGAGCCCAAATGCCCATCAACCTATTGCAGATAGGTAAGTTAAGTAGATATTTTGGAGGTAGATAGACACAGCCAGCTCAGAAGGAGACAACATGGAGGACAGACAAGAAGCTAACATGGAGGACAATCAAGACAGTCAATGAAGGCCAGAATTGTAAAAGAACAGAAACTATCACACCCATGTAGGACACACAGCAGTGATTGATATTTTAAATAGGTATCCATAACTTGGGTGGGGGACACAGATCTTCCAAGAAAGATTCCTTACCCACTCCTTTCCACTGAAAATCCTTGTTCATTCCTTTTTGTTTATTTGCTTGCTACATGACTTGTTTCCCCATTGGATCCCCATTTAATCAATATTACCTGGGTGACTGTACTTGTAATCTTATTGATCATGGTTTTGTCCCACCTCAACCCACCTTGTAAATTTCCATTAGGTCTTAATAGTTTTGTCCCACATTGTACCCACCCCACCACATGGCTTTGCTGTATAAAGTGTCTTTGAAAAGTGGGGTGAACAGGCAACTCACTTTCCGGTCTCCCTTCTGTCTCTCTTAGAAGCTTTCTTTCTCTCACTATATTTTTCCTATTCTTAATCTCCATTGTTCTAGAATTCATTCTTCAATTTTAGAAAACAGGAACTCGCCTTTTGGATATCTAGTAGGTTTGGGAGTTACATCTTCTCCCCTATTATCAAACGAATGGATAAAAAAGATGTATTTTTTATACAATGTAGCACTACTCTGCCATAAAGAATAAGCTTCAGACATTTATAGCTAAATGCATGGACCCTGAGACCATACTCTTAAGTGAAACAAATCAGACACACAAGTTTAAATACCACACTGTTTTTTTCTCTGATGAGAAACTAAAAGTGAACATATGGACTAAAATGTATGATACATACTGGGAAATGGGACGAAAATGTTCAAATGGGAATGAGAACAAGGGAGTGGGGAGCCAGAACGGAAGGGACAAGAAAAATAGTGAAAATGGAAAAATTGGAATCAAAGCTTGTACATAGAGAGGGGAGGGGGCATGAGGAGGGAGGGGGTGGGAAAAAAGAGACGGGATGTATGGGATGTACCCTTTAAAGATGCAAATTCCATATGATAGGTATCATGTATACTTTAAATGCATCAATAAAGGTTTTGTTATTTAAAAAAAGATTCCTATCCTCATGACTAAGGACTAAATGTGATTATGTTAACCATTTTATGTAATTCCTGGAACAAAGTAACATTTAATACATGGGAGTTGCTGTTTATTCTTTTAAATAACCTAGGCACCATTTAAACATATCAACCAAGTAGGGATTTAAAAAATGTGGCTTATCATGAAAACTATGGCATTATATGAAGAGTAAAAGCTTGATTATACATAAATATAACTGAGGGGCCAGGGATTTAGCATAGTGGCATTGCACCTGCCTCACAAGCACAAGGCTGTGCATTTCATCCCTCAAACCAAAAATAAATAAATAAATCTGTAGGATCTCATAAAATATGGCACAAGAACAGCGTGAATAAGTAGAGTGCACAAATGACAGAATTCTGCAAAAAACAAATGAGAACTGATGGGTTAATCTGTGCATCAGGGTACTGGGGATTAAATTCAGGGCCTTCCATGCTAGATGTACACTTTACCACTGACCTTCACTGCAGCAATTAATCCGTGCTTCTGAAGTTCCAACTTAATACCAAAAAGAAGAATAAAGTCTCACCTTTGTGATTCTCAACTCCCAATTTAATTCATTTATTACATGTGCCAAACATCTTGATAAGAACAGAAGCACTAAGGTGCATTAAATAGCAGGCTCACTCCTATACATTTGTGGTGTGTGGGCAGAACACACAAATGGATACATATCAAGTGACTAAAGTAATAAATTTACATTAAGCCGATGTTTTAAATAAATTTTCTGTGGTCTTACCTTGACAAAATATACCTTCATAGTGATCAGGAAAACAGATTCAAATTTATAATTCTTAAGATTCCTCAGATTATAACACAAAGTAGTAACAAAAAGAGACGCCTCTGGAAACTTTCCTTTTTTTAAAACAAGGTGTCACTATGTAGCGTAGGCTGGCCTCGAACTCAAGGCAATTCTCCTGACTCAGCCTCCTGAGTGCTGGAACACAGGTGTGTGCCACTACGCCTGGCTCTCCCTGATTTTCTAACACCTAGTTCTATATGGAACCTCCGGGTGCCTCATGAAAGCAATTATGTATACCCTCGTTGATACATCTGGGTAATGTCCACATATCCTTATAAAAACACCTGTCATCTGGCTACTCCCCAGGCCTAGGAGTATACCTATCAGAGATGTGTTCTGTCGTCCAAAGAAAGGACTCAAGGACCCTGGCACTGCACTTGGAGCCACACAGGCAAAGAATTCTGGGATCTCAGGTATCCCAGGATACCCCAGAAGGGATCTACTAGATAGGTATGTTATAGGACCTGCAACTAAAGAAGGACTGGGGCAAGATTTTCTAAGTTACTGGGCCCAGGAAAGGGATGATTCAAAGAGTGATAATAACTATAACTGTAACTAATAATAAGTTCACAGTGTCCTGAAATGTCATTATGATTAGATATGGTAAATGCTATATATCAATCCCTTACTATTTGCTAGGACTTAGAAAATATACCTCACTCTACAACAAGAGAACAAAGTAAACCTAAGCCTTGTACAGGGAAAATATACTCTTCTAAAGCACTAAAACTTCATCTTTACAATCATGTTCTACCCACACCACAGCATAGATACAAATTCTAGGATGTTCCTTGTGTTCCTGTGGGCACACAGATGAAATATCATGGTAAAGTAACTCTCCCAACAGTTTTGGCAAATTACAACATCTAAAAAAGTGTTTTTAAGGTGAATTATCTTTCACCATGCACAAAACTAAAATTGAAGTGGATTAAAGATCTAAATATTGGCCAGGGATTTAGCTCAGTGGTCCCACTGTCTGCCTGGCAAGTGCAAGGACCTGAATTTGATCCCCGGTATCAATAAAATATCTAAATATTAAAACATAAACACTGAACTTGCTGGAAGATAAGTTAGGTAGAATGCTTGAAGACACTGACATAGGAAAAGACTTTATGAACATTACCTCAGTAGCACAGGAACTAGTACAAAGAATCAACAACTGGGATCTCATCCTATTAAAAAGCTTCTGCACTGTAACAGAAACCAACAACGGGGCTAAGAGACTACCTACAATGTGTCAAAAAAAATTTTAGTAGCTGTTCCTCAGACAAAGGACTACTATGTAGAATATATAAAGAACTTAACAAATTTGGACCCAATCCAAAAATGGGCATCTGAAATGAACAGACATTTCTCAGACAAAGCAGCAAATAAAGATGAAAAATGTTCAACATCACTGGTCATTGGAGAGATGCAGATGAAAATAACACTGAGATTCCACCTCACCTGAGAAAGAATGGCTGCTACCAGCTATTCCTCTGCTGGATATCTTCCCAAAAGAATTAAAAGAATCATACCATAGCAATATATGTACACCCATGTTTATAGTGGCACAGTTTGTAATAGCTAAAATTTGGAAACAACCCAATCGCCCATCAACTGGACAATGGATAAAGATTTTTTATATAAAATGGAGTGCTACTCAGCCATAAAGAATGAGAAACTAGAAATATTTATGGCTAAATGGATGCATACTGAGGCCATACTCTTAAGTGAAATAAATAGGGCACACATGTAAATACTGAATAGTTTCTCTAGTCTGAGAAACTAAAAGTGTAAATAAGGATGAAAATGTGTAATAGATAATGTGAAAGAGGAAGAAAATGTCTAAAGAGAAAGTGGGAGAGGTAGGGGAAAGGAAAGAAGAAAAAGGAAAAAAATATGAGAAAAGGAAAAAATTGAAACAAAGTCTTTGTAAATAGGGAGGGGCGGAGGGGTTGAAGGGAGGGCAGGGGAATGGGGAAAAAATGAGAACCAAGATACATGTAAAGGTACAAGATCCAAATGATGAATGTAACTAACTATATTATATATCTAAAATATACCAATAAACAATGAAAAAAAGTGTTTTCATGGTGAAAGTGATATATAAAATATATGCCTTCAGTGTGAAAAGTATGTATAGAGGGAAAAGGGACACTTTTTTTTTTTTAGTTCAGATGGGAAGTAAAGAAGGCATTTATAAACAAATGCCCACAGATACACATACACAACATAACTTCAAACCTTGGGTTTCTTCTGGCCACCCACTCTCAACCTCTACACCAACTTACATACATACTTATATGTATACGTATATACACAAACTGGTCAGTTCATCCATTTCCAACACTTTCACATTTTTGCTTATTCCCTAATTAGAGAATTAGGTAAGAATATTCTCACTAATCTTAGTCTACATCTTTAAGGCCAGTTCTTTGAGGTCTAAACATAATATGGCAAGTTAGATCAAAGATTAATGGACCCCTAGAACAGAAATACACTCTGACTTTTTCTTCCATCACACTTAAAACTACTTAAAATGTGGTATTAAAAAGAAGGGGAACAAAATAGGTGCAATATTCAAAATGTCCAGGACAGATACAAATGGAAGATGAAAGAGAATGGAATGAGTACTAAAGTGCTCATGAGATCAAGTTCATCTCCATATCTACCCAATTACTGAGGTTCCTTAGTCCTCCACACAGCCTGGTAACTGAAGTAAACACAAAGCAAGACTACACAGAACCATTTTAGACTTGCTTGCCATCAATCTAGGGACTAATGAAACTCAGAAACAAAATGCTACTCTTTCTCACCCTAGAAAGCACAGGAGATGCAGATAAAATGCCAAGTTCTATCCTGACAGTATGTACAGTCTTTGTCATAGAGCTCTGAAGGTAAAGATATACACTGAGCCAATGATGGCAAACCTTTTAGAGATGAGCACCCAAACTGCAACCTAAAATCCATTCATTGCAAACTGTAATTTTTTGGGGGGTGGGGGGGTTGAGACAGGGTCTCACTATGTAGTTGAGACTGACCTGGAACTCACTATGTAGCCCAGGCTGGTCTCGAACTCACAGCAATCCTCCTGTCTCAGCAACCCAAGAGTGCTGGGATTAAAGGTGTGCGCCACGACGCCTGGCTTGCCAGCACTGTAATTAAACCTGAATACTGAAGTTTTAGCTTAGAAAAAACAACTCACACATCACCATCTTTTGCCTTAAAAACAAGTAACATGCATACCATAGGTTCGACACCACTGCATCAAGCAGTAAAGACTTAATCCAACTTACCTGGACAAAAAATATAAAGTGCTTGAAAGATGTATTGAGATGTGCTTCCTCCTGAAGTTGGATCACAGGGTCAAAATGTTGATGATAAATGTGAGCATAAACCCTAAAGAGACGTTTGAGTATAGTTTTTGCCACAGACATGAAGTTCTTTGGGAATGGAACACCTATTAAAGAGATAATACTCTCTATTAATCAAGAGAACAAAGTACTATGATTTTATTATTAACATCAAACAGCAACATAAATTGATAAGACAAGGCCAAAAAGAAGTGGTATTTATGAATTACTACTTTATATATCTGTTATACCTTTCAGAAGATCTCAAGATATAATGAAAATAACTCTGGTTTCTGTGGATTAAGAATTACTCTTTAATAGAGCCTGTTGTATCCCTAACATACTACTACTTTACTAAAATGAAATGAACTTCCTGGCATCAAGCCTTAATACAAATATGGCTGCACAGTAATGCATCATGTTGAGTTCGGTTTAAAATGCTTGTAAAATACTTCGGACTTTTTCTAAATAATTTCATTACTACTCAGGTTTATACTGGTCCCTAAGTTAGCTGCAATCACTGATCAATTAGGCTCCTTATTTAGTGAAATACAGCATTTTTACAGCCTTAAACAGATATAAAACTAGAAAATATATAATCCCTGTGGAGAAAAAAAGTGTCCTTGTACATTGTTGTTGGGAATGTAGACTGGTAAACCATTTTGGAAAACAGTATGGAGGGTCCTAAAGAAATTAAAAACAGAATTACCACATGACTGTACAATCACATTTCTTAGTAGTACATATCCAAAGGAAATTAAAACACTCTATCTTAGATATCTGACCTCATATGTTCACTGCAGCATTATTCACAATTGCCATAACATGGAAACAACCTAGGTGTCCGACAACAAATGAATGGATAAGGACTTGTGAGATCCACATTCACACAAAAATATTCATTCAGTGTTACAAAGGCAGAAATTTTGCCTTGTATCACAACATGTATGGACTTGGTAAACATTATGCTAAGTGTAAGCCAGGCACAAAAAGAAAAATTTTGCACAATCTTACTTACATTGGGGAAAAAATATTAAATAGAATAAAACTGTAGTTATCAGAGGTGGCAAGAGGAATATGAGATGTCAAATGATATAAAGTAGCAAATACTCAGGATGAGAAAGTCTAAAGATCTAACGTACAACATGAACACTATAGTTAAAATAATGCATTATATAGTGATTTTTAATTAAATGTATATAGGTGCTCTTGCCACTAAGGAAGAATGATAGGTTATTCTGAAATAATGGATATGTTAACTTGCTTCATTACAATAACCATTTTATGAAATATCTCTATTAGTATCTCTTACAACATGTTATATACCTTAAAGATCCATGATAACATTTTTAAAAATTAAAAAGACATTCTTTATTAAACAGGCTAAATGACCCAAACTGACATAACAGCCTAATATTAGTACTGTTTTTAATGTCTTAACACTGCCTACTGATCATTATAAAATACAGGTCACAGGGCCGGGGACTTAGCTCAGTGGTTCTGCCGCCTGTCTCACAAGTGCAAGGTCCCAAGTTCGATCCCCAGTACCAAAAAAACAAAAATAAAAATACAGGTCACAAGGAATCAAAAGACAAACCAAAATGAAAGCATATTCTATAAAGTAATGTGTACTTTTCAAAAATATCTATTTCATGAAAGACCAAAAAAGTCTGCAGTACACATATTTTAGACTAAAGACGACAAAAGGGAGATAACAACAGGAAAAAAAAAATCAAAGATTTTCTTTTGCTATTAAAGAATATATGCAAATCCTGAAACACCTCAATAAGATCCACAGATTAGAGAATAGTATATTGGTGTTAATTTCCTCATTTTGGCAGTTATACTCTGACTTTCTAAGGAAATACACATTAAATTACTTCTGGGTAATGAATTAGAAGTAACTTATTTCTCAGGAAAATTAATGAATATGGGAATGGGGGAGGAAAAAGTAAAATAATCTACATGAAGAATCTATAAATCTTTGTAGGATTCTTGCAAATTTTCTAAATGTCTGAAATTGGTTCAAAACAAAAAATTAAAATATATAGAGAGAAATGAGATAAGGTGAGCATAATGATTCTAATAAAACTGTTTTATATACGTATAAGACAGTCTTGAAAAATAGTTTTTATTATAAAAGTTCCAAAAATGGTTAACATATTTTTATGTTTAAAACACTTCATATTGCTGTCTTCTCTACCACACCCTTCAAAAACTGAAAGAATAAAATGTAATAAAAAATTGTCCTAATAATAGAAGAGCAAATTCTTAACTTTTTTTCAGAAAATGGTTGTAATAAGTTTGAGAAGGTAAGAACATATGAACTGTCTAGATGTGAACAATTTCTACTTGAAAAGTCTCCCCTTACAAGTATATATATTAAAAAAAAAGTTATTCAATCTTACAAACCAACCCCTCAAATCTTTCTTTTCTTTTTTTGGAAGGGTACTGGAGATCAAACTCAGGACCTTGTACTTGCCAGGCAGGTGTGGTACCACTGAGCTAAATCCCTGGCCCTCAAAATAAGATTCATTTTGTGGGTTATAAAATCAAAACTCTCTCTGCCACAAATATAAAACTAGATACAATCCATATAAACTTCTTCCTCAAGAGCTAAATATTACATGGTGCTATCATTAACTGCCTACTTAATATCTATTCTCTTTTTCTATAAGATTTTGTTATTGTCTTAGATCACTCATCTTTTATCATTTAAAAATATAGGTAGGCTTATTATCGCAGTGTTTATAATAAACTTGGTATAAAAAATATGGGACATTCTTAAGTGCATAAGATCAGAACTTTTTTTTTTTTTTTTGAGACAGGGTCTCACTATGTAGTTGATTGAGACTGACCTGGAACTCACTATGTAGCCCAGGCTCGTCTTGAACTCACAGTGATCCTCCTGTCTCAGCCTCCTGAGTGCTAGACTACAGGCGTGCACCACCATACCAGGCTAGATCAGAACTATTTTGAAAGGTACACAAACCTAGTGTGATTCTGAAATAGGAACAAATCTCTATCTAGAACCTTCTACTGAAAGGGTTAACTTGATCTTCACAATTCTTAAACAAAAAAATCCAGTAATATTTTACTCAGGAGAATCATGAAAACAGCAAATAAAATGCTTAAATCGCTGGGTGGGGTGGCACATGCCTGTAATCCCAGCACTCAGGAGGCTGATGCAGGAGGATCGCTACGAGTTCGAGACCAGCCTGGGCTACACAGTGAGCTCCAGGTCAGTTTCAACTACATAGTGAGACCCTGTCTCAAAAAAACAAAACAAAACAAAACAAAACAAAAAACACCACCCAATAAATAAATAAATAAATGCTTAAGTCAAAAGAGGTAGATAATATATTTTCTAATAAACCTATTCTTTCAACTAATATGCATTTTAAAACATTAAAAGATGAGAAATGAAATAAAATAAAAATAAAACTGTGAGGGATTTAGCTCAGTGGTTCCGCTGTCTGCCTCGCAAGAGCAAGGTCCTAAGTTTGATCCCTGGCACCAAAAAAAAATTAATAATAAATAAAATAAAAATAAAAGATGAGAAAAACAATTTACACAAGAGAGCCTGCTTATTTTATGATTGGGTTAACAAACTTTGTGCCTTGCTTGGAAATTATAACATACACATAACAACACAGCCTTGTAGAGTTCTCCAACTAGAGAGGGAGGGAAAAGTCAGAGCTCCAGAAATCAGATAAAACATGATGGATTCTAATTACGTAAAATAATTATACCAATTTTTAGGGCCGGGGATTTAGCTCAGCGGTTCAGTGGCCTGCCTCGCAAGGACCCGAGTTTGATCCCCGGTACCAAAAAAAAATAATAATAATCATTATACCAATTTTTGATGGAAATAATGTCTCATCATCCAACTGATCCTGGACCCAAGTCATCAGGTAATCAATATACTTCGGTGCAGAACACTTAATAGGTTTCTTTATGTTTGTTCCATCTGCCCAATGATACTCATATCTACAATGGAAAGAGAAAGAACACACAGACTGCCAAATACAATACACACATTTTTACATTTCTATATACATATACTGTATATACAAACAAGTGTTAAACAATCTGCTCCTCCAAATAAAGGCATGCAGTATTTTTAAACTGCCAATGAAATGCTGTGTGTTTATCACAACACAAGCTAAGCAAACACTGCCAACTTACCTTTTACATTTGCACATTTTCTATGTGTCTGAACTTTGGGGGGATGGAGGGTGTCGGGGATCGAGCTCAGGACCTTACATGTGCAAGATAGGCAGCAGCACCGCTGATCTAAATCCCCAGTCCTGAACTTTCTTTCCCAGCTTTCCCTCATATCAAATTGTTATGGCTTGTGTCTAGATGTGCCCCAAAGCCTCATGTGGTTATAGGTGGGGCTTTTCAGAGGTGGGGGGATCTAGAGTGTGTGACACTGGGACTAATTTCTAGTGCGATGCTACACTCAAGGGTAGTAGCATTAAGGTTCTATCCACCCTAAGTAGTCTGAATAAAAGCAAAAAGATGATGTTAAGACACTTTGTTACTTTGCTACCCTACCCGCCATGAACTCATGTGCCACTATGGACTGAAACCTCTGTGAACCATAAGCCAAATAAACCTTTCCTCCCTTAACTTACAGGTGTCAGGTATTTTGTCTCAACAATGAGAGAGAAGTAACTAAGACATGAGTAGAATCATACATTATTACAGTGAAAAACTAGCTTACTTCTTGGTTCTATGATACTCTTGGTGTTTGTTTATTTGTTTTTTTTTTTTGATTTCGGGTCTCACTTTGTTGTGACTCACCGTG